CAGCAGCCTCATTCCATTAATGTTTATTCAGTTCTTTTAAAGTCTTAATTCTGAATATCTTGCTTTCTTAATTCTTCAACACATGTGCTTAGGATTGCACACCTTAATTCCTAAAGAATGAATAGCCATGCTGCATTTCCATCAGCCACTTTCTTTTTCTTTCATCAGTGGAAGGCAGGGCATGAGTTCAGGATAAACAATATACCGGTGTATATAGGAAAAAAAGAAATAATATTGCAATACTGGATTCCCTGATGTACATTATACCATTACTATAACCATATCACTATGGGTACCACAAGTACTAAGATAAATAATGTATGACACACTCTCCCATGATTGTCCTTTGCACAATGCTATCCATCACTGGACACACGAGAGAGCTATTGACAATATGTTCTGTTATAATGGTACATGAAAAAAGCATTTATCTGAGTAGTCATAGGGCAAACTGTTAAACCTATACAATTAACCAAACTGAAGCTCAATATGTTACTATTTGTACACTGACAATCCATGCAAATCTAAGTGTTGCATGGTGAATGAATGCCTAATAGTGAATACAGCCCAGTATTACCTGAATGCTAAGCAACATTCCTAGGCTCACAAAAGCATCCCTCAACGCTTCAAGTCAACTCCATCTCATTAAGCATAAGAATGACTGTTACACGTTATCATTTTACATTCCCCATATGTCACAACAAGGACTTATAGCCATGGAAGGGCAGCTTTCCTTCTAATTTTCCTAATCTCGTTCATGCCATACTTGTTGCTAGCTGGTCACAAGAAACAATTGGAAGATTTTCCAGGAGATAAAGCCTTCGAAAACAAGAGTATCCAAAGGGCATTCACTATTACTTCTACGACTACTTCTGCCATCCTTATTATTCATGCATATGTTTGAAGAGCAGATCATGAAGGTAAGTTATTCATTGGTGATTTTTTTCCCCTCCATAATTCACACTCACAACTTCACTGACATTTTTGAACATCTAGCACCAGATCTTTTCTTGCTCTCTTTAGTAACAAACTGAGGACAGGTTTTTCACACCATTCCCCACCCCACAGTGAGGAATTTATTATCAAGAGAAATTAAGTTACAATCTTAAGCAAGAAAAATGGTCTAAAATCCTAGGTTGCCTCAGCCAGCCATGGAAGTGCTAGGCTTTTTTCTGTTTACACTTGCAGTGTTTTAAAGGAGAGAGGAGAGATACTCTAGAATAAGAAGAAAATGTTCCTTCTGTGCAGTTCTAATTTTATTCAGAAGTGAATGTTAATTTATAGGAACAATGCTGAATCTGTAAAAAATATAGATATAAAAGGAAACATTTGTGAGTTCATCAAGCTTCCTAAACATGTCAAGATCTATACTTCAGTACTATACACACTTGCCAAGAGTGAGTCCCATTGATTCTAGTGAGCCTTACTTTAGAGTAGACATGCATAAATCAGAATGTGGAAAATATTTTATATGATGCTTTTGTCTGATCAGACCCATTTATTTTTGTTTGATATTTTATAAAACCCCCTTTCAATAGTAATGTCTGCACATAAAAGACGGGTGTGTGGGAGAGGGGGGAGAATAGTTCCAATCAAAAGTAAATATAGCTGTTCACATATCTTATCTCTCCTCTTATAAAAACAACAACAAACCTGGCTAAATGTTTTATTTAACATAAAGGAATTGAGGGCTACAGTTTACAAACAAACTCAAATCATTGTGTTCCCTCATTTCCCCTTTCTTCTAGTCTTTTCTCTTTGTTCTTTCTGAATTTGCCTCAGAACTGTCTGATGTCCATTTTATTACTGTTAATAGTTAAGCAGTAGATCAGCATTATCAAGGCTTTAAGAGTTGTCATCCACTGTTTGGGGACATTGGTTTAATCTGTACGTGCTGTTCACAAGCTCTATGCATTAGACTGTATTTCCTAGAAGAAATGTCAGTCACAGTATATGAAGTTTTCAGCTTGTGTTCTGTCAAGGCCCTTCGTATCTCAACATGTGCATTTCCTCTCTCCATCCCAACAGATGGGATACTCATCTGTTGAATTACTCCCCAGTTAAAATTATTCTGTTGAATTTCCATGACAATTTATCAAATGCTCCAAGCATAATTTCCTAAACCTTTATTCGTTTATTTTATCCAAAAAGCACCTTGATATCATCTGCAATATGCCCCAAATTGTTAGCAACTCCAAAGAAAATAGTGGGGGAAAGAGTAATGTAATTTGTGTGCCAGATAAATTATTTGTACACATTAAAAATAATATCTCCTGGACTAATAATTGGCCCCACACACTTTCAGGGACTTTGAAGTAACCGATTTCATAGGATTGTCAACTTTTTTCCAGAAGGCTCTAGGAATCTTAGCAGTGATAGCACACTGAGCTATGTTCCTACATGAGGATACAGGGTTGGGATGAGTTCTATTAATCTGAATTCTTTTCTGGCTCATTCTGTGCTGGGTTGTAAAAGCACAGAATGAGTGTATGTGAGGGCAAAAAAATGATATTTGTTGTCATAACCACTATCACTTTTCTGTTACTTCTTCCAAGGGTGTTAGCTCTTCAGGTTCACTGCTACCAGGGGCAAAGGGATGAAAGTAGTGTTAAGTAGTACATTCCAGCTGAAAGGGGCCTATGCCATAACAACTGGCCATTTTCATGCCTAGATTGCCTAGATTCATGTGCCTTGAACAACAGCAAGAAGGCAGGGAAATGTTGCTCTGCAGGCTGAATATTTGTGAAAATTTTTCAGTACAGTGCCCGTGTTTTGGCCAAATCTTTGTAATCTTTAAGAGAGCCACTATGGTGTAGGAAAGGCAGCATTGTAGTACTAACCACATCAGTACTAAGGTGACCCACATTCAGTCTCCACTGACTGCTTCTCTTTCAGGCTACCCTACCTCACAGGGTGGTCATGAAGGTAAAAGAGGATCCCTGTGAGGTAGGGTAGCCTGACTCATGTATGTTGCTTGACTTCCTTGGAGAAAAGTGGGGGATATACTCATAATAAATATCAACAGCGTGGGCTTTTCTGCACGTGACTATGCACTGACAAATGTTTGTCTGTTAAATGTCTTCCATTCACTTATTTTAAGAAGGGGAACACTGACAGAAATTATAAAGAGTTGAGGGGTGACGGAAGGCGAGCTACATCCCTTTTATTGCCTCAGGAAACTTTTTGTTTTTTACTCTTCATTTAACCAAAACGGGGAAGGGAGGGAGCAGTACAGGTGTAACAGAGCAATTCTTCCTCAGCAGCTTCCTCAGATCTTTTTGGACTACAGCTCCTAGTATTCCCAACCATCGACTCATGCTAACTGGGGCTGATGGAAGTTGGAGTCCAAAACATCAGCAGGACACCTGCTTGGGAAAAAAAGTAATTCAAAATAATACATCAGGGGGAGCGTTATTCGCTTGACTCCTCCCCCTGCGAAAGGGAGGCTCTTTCTCGAACGCGAAGGAGGAAGCGCCGCCGCTGAGGATGGGAGCGAGGAAAGCGGCCGGCTTGTGGTTGCCAGGGCAACGGCACTTTCTGCCTCCCCCCCCCCCCCGGCTGGAACGTGCTGCTACCGCCAGAGCCGCCATCACCGGGCAGAAGAGGCTGCCGAAGCCACGTCCTGCTGGCCGGACGGCCGTTTGACTTCGTGCCGGGCTTCGTGCCGAGGGCGGGGCTGAGGCTAAGCCATGCAGGGTTAGGGACCTCTCAACCCACGTGCCAGGAAATCAGCATTTAAACCTAAAGACAAAGGTGAGGGAAGACCGAGCACGCTCGGGACACTAAACGGGCGCCTCTGCGTGGGAGAGAGCGGAATGCCAGCATCCGTATTAGGGCGATACCTTTACGAAGTCAACCAAAATGTCACCAAATACTGTGCAAGCTTTCGAGATCTCCAGAGCGCTTTATGAGGCTAGATGTTAAGTGGGAGAAGCAGGGTCTGTCTGATGTTATACGTCATGGGATGATGTCCCATGTTAGTCTTACATTAGAGTATACCCGTTTAAATTAATGTGACATAAAGTAGACTTGCATTAGATAAAACTCACGAAGCCTACGTTGAATTGCCTTCTCAAGCTGAAATGCAGGAGCAGGTAGAGCAGACATTCAAATGAAGGTCCACTAGGTGTTACGGTGGCTTCAAGTTGCACCTAGGTTTGTCCCTAGAAGTCAAATGGTCTTTTTGAGAATATGAAATGCAGTTGTTCTCTGGATTTGTCTCCATTTGGCAGATACTCAGAAATGCATAAAGGCCAAACTGTGTTCAATGTCAAAGTGACAGACCGGTAAGGAACATGGGAAGAAAGAGCAATTCATTCCTGACATGCATTAGAAATGAGGCAGTGTGACATTTATTCAGGACCGTTGCTTTGGCAGGGTTGAGAGTTATTGCTCCTTACAGGCACTAGAGTGTCCGGATAAAAGTAATGCATCAAAGGACTGGTTTTCCATCCATGGTGGGGAAGTGGCCTGTGCTGCACTTCACCGTCACCCACCCTCCTTGAAAAAGACGACAGAAGACAGACCTGCTGAATGTTCATCAAATGTGCAAAACATTTTAGCTGGAAGCTGGCCGTGTCCTAGTACCATAGGGTTGAGAAAATTGAAGCTGTGGCTGCTGAAATTAATGGCATAAGAACATCTTCTGAATGATTGCCTCTGGCTACTCGTACAGCTGAAATAAACAGCACTGCTTGGCCTTTTACTTTGCATGTCAGAGCCAGCTAGCATCTGGCTTTTGACATGGGAATATCCTCAGAAAATATTTTTCCAAGATACTTTTCTGAGGTCATGGGAATGTCCTCAGAAAACAAGCCTTTCCTGACTTCTGGTTACAATATCAGGATGTTGCAGTGTTGTTATTCTGTTAAAGCAAAATCAACAAAGAGACTCTTGTAGCACCTTAAAGATCAACAAACTCTAGATCACAAGAGCTTTGCCAGTTCACGTAGAGGCTAGAGTGTTGCACTGTGACTCTAGAGACTTGGGCTTTACTTCCTACACCACTATGAATCTCATTGGATGACTTTGGACTACCTTGCAGGGTTGTTAAGATAAAATTGAGAGGTAAAAGTTTATGTATGTTGCTTTGAGCTTCTTGGAGGAAAAGCAGGATATAAATGTAACAAATAGGAACTTTGATGAATCAATGGCAATTGTTCCCATATATTAACTATCTGGTAGAAGGCATGAATGATATGTTGACATTTCACATCTGCCTTTAGTGGAGTGTGTACAGTTCATCTACCCTGTGAAGACAACACTTTCCACTTTTCATTTGCTAGTGCACATTAGTGTATGCAGCTTAAAAACTATTCAAGCTCCCTACCTGCCACACTGCAGGAGTAAGTCTGGAAAGGCTGGGCATGTGCCCTGTGCTGTGATTTTCTTTTTTTATGACAAATGATGATGCAGGTTCTCAGTGTGAAAGGGCAAAGTGGATGCTACTCCAAAAAGAGCTTATCTGTAATAAATGTATTCATCTCTAAAGTACCAAAAGACTCTGGTTTTACCACAGTGGTATAACGCAGCTACTGCTCTAAACAAGTACTCATTTTATTTATAAAATTATGTATGAATGACCCTTTGGTTCCAAAAGCAACATGTATTCATTTCAAAACCTACCCATTATTTAGTGTGAATCTGCAGAAGATGATGTCAATTCTTAAACACTTTAGAAGTACCGGTGACAAAATAACATTAATTTTGTGTGTAAAAAGAGAGGTATGTTGAGGCTGCATGCAGTGTCCAAATGCTGTGTTCTATTCTTATGTGTGTGACAGTCTGTGGAGGAAAAATAAAGGCTCTGGTTTCAAGAGATTATGTCAGAAGATTCAGATAAAGACAAGCAACACAGAGAACAATTAACCAGTGATGATTACAACTCGGTATGTTTATTCTTCAGTATTATACTTTTTCCCCTAATATACTGATGGCAAATCTTTTAGAGACCAAGTGTCCAAACTGGAACCCAAAGCCCACTTGTTTATCGCGAAGTGCCAACACTACAATAAAACCTGAAAACTGAGGTTTTAGTTTAGAAAAAAACACCTCACAGCCAGTCCAGGCAAATATATGTATAACCTTGGCAGTGCACTGACCGGCCATGTGAAAGCTCAGACGAGTCGTGGCTAATGAGTCGCGGCTAATGAGTCGCAATTCGTGATGTCATCACCTGACACCGCTACTCCTTTCCAAGGATGTGCATGGCCCCTATGCATGCTGTTAACCAGTGCTCGGCTATTGGGGCGATGCTGGAGCGATTTGGCTCACATGCTGACAGAGAGGGCTCCGCGTGACCACTGTGGCACGTGTGTCATAGGTTCACCACCACTGGCCTAACCCTACCCTAATATAGAGGTAAAATACCATTGAAAATAATGCGATTTTGAAAAAGCCTTGCTTGAGTAGCTTTTTCTGCATAGCTCAACATTTCTGCCCATTCTAAACACATTCCAACCATCAAAATCATGCCAGGACACCTCGTTTCTCTAATCCTAACCCCTGGTGCACACCCCTAACCCCAATATAGGGGTAAAATACCATTGAAAATAATGCGATCTTGAAAGAGCCTTGCTTGAGTAGCTTTTTCTGCACAGTTCAACATTTCTGCCCATTCTAAACACATTCCAACCATCAAAATCATACCAGGGCACCTCGTTTATCTAACCCTAACCCAGTGATGGTGAATCTTTTAGAGACTGAGTGCCCAAACTGCAACCCAAAACCCACTTATTTATCCCAAAGTGTCAACGCTGCAATAAAAGCTGAACACAGGTTTTACTTTAGAAAAAATACCTCACAGCCAGTCCAAGCAAATACACACACACACACATATCCTTGGCAGTGCACTGACCAGCCATGCGAAAGCTCAGATGAGTCGCAGCTAATGAGTCACGGCTTGTGAAGTCATCACCTGGCACCACTACTTCTGAGGATGCGTATGGCCCCTATGTACGCTGTTATCCGATGCTCAGCTGCTGGGGCGATGCTGGAGTGACTTGGCTCGTGTGCAAACAGAGAGGGCTCTGCTTGCCCGCTGTGGCACATGTGCCATAGGTTCACCACCACTGCCCTAATATATATATAATCTGCTTCTATATCATGGTTGATGTGTTTAAGGGAATTTAACTTCCAATCCTCTACTCCTCATATATAATCCTCATACATTATATATTAAGAGTCAGAGTGGTGTGGTGTTTAGAATGTTGGACAGGGAACCTGAGAGATCCAAGTTACAGTCCCTATGCGGCCATAAAGCTCACTGGGTGACTTCTAGCCAGTCACAGATTCTCAGCCCAACCTACTTCAAAGGCGTATTGCTGTTAGGATAAAATGGTGCTGTGAGGTCACCTTGGGCTCCTCACAGAAGGAAAAAGCAGCATATACATGCAATGTAATAATAAGCACAGACAGTATGCTCCATTACAGTAATTATTTCAGTTATGCAGGGTATGCTTTCCCCATGTGCTATTACTGCCACATATGTACTTTATCCCCAGCAATATCAAATGTGAAAACTAAACATGATTCAACTCTTGGTTAAGTATGCCTGAAACTTAATACTGCTGTCAGAAGCAAAGTGAGAAAAAAATTGTCACTAAGGAACATTTATAGTCATTCAGAGCCACCTCTGGAATGCAGCCCCCAAATCTTGTTTCAAGTGGAATTCTGCCCTTGAACTGAAAAAGATTTTGCACCTTGTAGTAAAGGTTAACTGAAAATTAAGAAGTCATTCATTCATTCATTCTATTTATTTAGAATCATAATCATCACTGTAACTGAATGTAGAATGCCCCATGTTAGATATTATTGTTTGTTCTCACTTTGCAAGAAACAAGAGCATCCTTATTTTCTGTTTTATTTTTATGTATTTTAGGATGAGGACCCCTTCAGTCCATTTTTAACTGAAGAATTTGAGCAGTGTGCATTTTTCCCAGGTCTGATATTTTTCTTTTTTGTCATGCATTTGCAGTTAGCTGGTTGGAACACGGTGGAGTTCTGGCATACACTGGTACACAGTATACATATTGTACATATATATATATATACTGGTATACAACTGGAGAAATCACCAGCATCATACACAAGGATATCAAAGCATCAAAAACCAGCAATGGGACCCCTCTTCTGTAATGTTATACTAATACTATATGCACTATTGGAAGTAAAACTTTTGCTCATGCATCTGTATGGTGATGCATCAGAAGAGGAAAACCTATAGTGGGGGCCATTATTACTTGTCCAAAACTACCTTAAAAGACTGTAGATGTTCACAGAAATAAAGAATAACTAACAAAAAAGGAAAAATTGGACTTTTTGACAATTAATTCTGTATTTTCTTTTTAAATACAACTTTGTAAATTGGCAGCCCTGGCCATTTTATACATGATTGTAAAAGAATAATGTTGGCTTATATGGTTCTATTTGGCTCTTTTCTCACAAATTGGCTGTCTAAGTTATATAACTCCAGGACAAAAAATACTAATACCTTACCCCCCCCCCCATCTCATAGATTCTTTTTGTGATCAACTTTTGCCACGGACTACACAAATTTTATTGGAATATAACTCAGGAAAATGGGTACCAAAGCTTCGTGAGCCACGAGATTTATATGGCCTGTCTTCTTCAGGACACCTGAACTTAGTACGCTGGCCCCATCAATTTGAAGTTATCAGAGAGAGAATTGAACATATCGGTAAATAATATTAAATGTTTGTAATTATGTGGCCCTTTTTTTGGTGAGTCTCAAGGCAGTATTTCAACAGAAATGCATTTTCTAATCTTTGCTGCAACCAGTTAAAGAATTAAAATTTGGTTAATTACCTTGTACTGTATCAGTTAATTCATGTATTACATTTAAACACATTTGAAAAACTTCAGTATAGGTAGTTTTGAAATATTGAAAGAACTGTGCAATGCTATCTTTGTTACCAGGGAAAGATCCATAGCTCAGTGACAGAACACATGCTTTGTATGCAGAAGGTTTCCAGGTTGGGTGAGGAAAGAACCCTGCCTGAACCCCTGGAGAGCCACTGCCAGTCAACGATGTTAAAGGGAAAGGCCATCTCTAATATTACAGCAATAATATCCTCAAAATAACCATGCTCTTATCTTTCAGTACTACTGACTAAAGTTGCTTCCCCCTACCTAAGTAAGTATCCTACTTAATATGGATAGGATTTCTGCATGCTCACTTGCATCAGCAGATCCCAAAGATGCGTTCATGTCATGGATGTACACTGTACAACACTGCAGTTGCACCAACCTGACATGGAAATGATCATGATGCCCACATGACACCATCAGCACATCAGCCTCAAACAGTTCAGATTTTGGGGAAGGGGGCAGAATGGTACTTATTTTGGATCTTCTGCTTGCTTACAAGTCATTTACATCCCAGTTATGGTATAACCCTTTGCAGAAGCAGCAATCTCAATCTAGATTACTGAACAGCAGGAGGTTGAAGCCTCAGTACTCCTCACCCCACAGGATTGCTGGGGAATGGGGAGGCTTTAACTTTACCTTCCTCACCTATGCAGATGTAGGGAAAATTGCTGTTTTCCTTGGCAGCAGAGAAAAAGCATTCTTGTTTGAGATTGCTTAAGGGGAAAGAGGGTGCACCAGGAGACCTATCTTGTGCATCCTATTTCTGAGCAGAGTTGGGATCCCACTATGCCAAAGAGGTGGCAGGAGTGACAATACTCCCATTCAAGTCAACAGAACCCCCAACAGCTGCTTTTTTACCTATTTCTTCTCTGTGTACATAGTTAGAAAAAAGAATAGGATCCAATTAACATTGCCACCATTCTGCTAGTAACATATAGGCCACTGTGTATCCACAGAATACACATTTTCTAACTAGAAATAAATACAAATATAAATTTTAAAACTGCCAAAAAACTATCTGTATGACTGAATTTTTATTAACTATTAACAACAGAGAAAGGGAGTCCAAGTACAGGCTATACATTTCAATCTATAAATTGAAATAATAAGTAACAGCTAGCAGCCAGATTGCTGCTTATCTATAGTCAGTATGTGAAGAAAACCTGCTACAAAATAAAATTACAGTGTTATCAGAAAGAGAATGATGTTTGCACATGAAATGATTATCAGTTGTATCCAATGTTAGACTAATTTAAGTTCTATTAGTTTCAGTGGATCTATTTTAAGCAGGGGTAACATTGCAGACAACTCCATGTATGCAATCCACCAGACCTTGCTTGCTGCAGTGAAACACCATTCACTGAAAGTGGATTCTCAGAATCCTAGAATTTAGCAAAAGTTATTGGTCTGGATCTTTCCTGTTCCCATTCAGTGTCCCCATGCTGACACCTTCTGGCAAAAGCATTCTTCTGCTACTTTAACATAATTTCATTTCAAGGGAAATGCTTGAAAAAAATTCAAGGTAATCATAGAAGCCTAACCCTTACTGGCTACATAGGAATAATATATAGTTTTTAACTTGGAATAATTCCTCCTTTGATATGGAGAAAGTTTGGTATGATGCTGATTAAACAAACATGAATATGTAGGGAAGAAGCACATAATAGCTTTGTTTGGCGTTTTTACCACAGCAGTGCTCACTGCCAGAGAGAGATACTTCTGTTCAGTTTATTTTTTTCTTTTACTTCTAGGGTGCCTCTTGTGTGTTATCAGGACCTTCTTGTCTTTGTTTCATGAAAAATCATGAAGTTTCAGAAGTTCTGTTTCCATTTTTTTTAAAGATTGCTAGCCAGCCTGGTTGTAAGCATGAAAATAAATATATCCTAAAATCGGAACCTTTAGTGGGATTTTTAAGGCAACCATTTTTCAAGTCATATTATTTCTTACCTTTTTCAAGTCATTATGTTAAAGCTGTTATCATGATCATTGGTGATATGACAGATTTGAATGCATAAAATTAATGGTTCCAGTTAAATATTAAGTTCTGCTTTCTACCTCTTTTCTCTCCAGTATGGACTCCTCCTAAACCAGAGCCACTATATAATCCAACAGGTCTTGAGATAGAGCCACCCTGCCCAGACCCAGGAGAGGGTGCTGTGGTCTATCTAGCAGATGGAGGTCTGAACATTTTCTATTATACAGTACATGCAAATTACAGAATAATTTTTTCTTTTGTTCACATTTTTCTTTATTACATAAAATTGTTAAAAATTATGTCTTAAAAGGGAAAAGCAAGAAAAGGGAACTGTAAGACATTAGAGGGACACTTCAAGTTCTGTGAATTTAGCAGCATGTTCTATATAACAATAAACACTTATTTCCTAACATTTTCAAAAGGTGTTTGTCAATTCCAATATCTAAGACGTAGCAACCCATTCTCCAAGGAATATTTCCTGGTTTTTAATCAATTCCACATTCTTTTGGAATGTCTTAATTTATACATAAAAGCTTCTACTACAATTATTTTTGCAATTCTTTTATGGGCTTGTTTACCAACAATATTTTTGATGTAAACAGCATATTACCAATATGCTTAGGCTTCGGCGAATGGGGCGGCATAAAAATATTTTAATAAATAAAATAAATAAAATATGGTCATCTTTTTTTGCACTAGGTCAAGATTTTCTTCTGTTCTCAGGCATTTGACAAAATATGATATGTCTTTTTAATAGGCCCTAGATTTTTATTACAACAACAACAAGGGTTTTACATTGTTATATTATTACATGTTAATGATTTTATACTATGTTATTACATTATATTTTTGTATTTTTAATACTTGACTGGGTGCTTCTCCCACCCAGAAAACATTTGGACAACCAGTTTCAGCCTTCTAAGACTTTTGTCCTAGCATGCAAGAAGGGGAGGCACAGGCACTGCCAGAATACTGCTTGTCATGGAGGCACCTCATATCTCCCTCTCTGCCCACCCAAAATTTGCACAAACGTCTGATTCAAGTTTTCAAGCTGCAGCCAGCTTTCCATGTCAACTGTGAGGGGAGAAGGTGCTCTGAGGTCAGAGTCCCAGCTCTACCTTGAAGCACATTTCCAAGGTCAGAGATGGGGCCCCAACTTCTCCTATGGCATAGGGTTGTACCCAAACTGAATTTCTAAACACATTTATAAACTGAGTTTGTAATCAGACTGAATAATACTTGTATATTTTGTTCCCCAACTAGCTGATAAGGATTCCAGATTTATGTATTCCCGAATAGGGGGGAGCTTTCCTACAAAGCAAGTGCTTCCTCAGTCCTGGGATGACTGGGACAACACTTTGATTTTTGAAGCACGATTTGAAAGTGGGAATCTGCAAAAGGTGATCAAAATGTAAGTTGCTCATAGTTTTCTTTTTGTCTTTGAAAAAAAGGTTAGTTTCTGTCCATGTTCTCTCTGACATTAAAGTCTATATCTATATTGCTAGGCCTTGAATAATGGCTTAGAGAACATGAAATGGGAAGCAATTACAATGCATACATTCAGTTTGTATTATTTATTTCTTCAAGAGCTCATGATGTTTCCAGGCTGCCTCCCATCAAAGTACTAGCCAGGTACAGAACTTCTCTTCCAAGGTGGAACTACATTCAGCACCTTTTGATTACTTATTTTGTCTAAGTTCATAGATTTAACACAATTTACCTCCACAGCATCCTATGCATAGGTCATCTCACAGACAAGATTCCAGTTTGTAATTAAACAAGTGATCCACTGGTTGTATAATTTTAGAAACCCAAAAGGGAAGAAATAAATGGTTGAGAAGAACTGTGGGTTCTGGCAAAGAAAGCCTGAGGCCATTTTACAATTGGTATAGTAAGTTCTTCTTGCTCATTAAGCAGTTGAGCAAAGGATCAGTTCCTTCTGCCTGCTTTGTTCACTTGCCAGGAAAACTCCCTACTGTATTTTCATTTACTCTCAACTGTGGTTGGCACAAATGCTGCTTTTGTGTACCAAAGAAGTCAGACAAAGGAGACGTATATGGCTCTGCCCCACGCTATCTTCAAGAGACTGCCTTAACTGTTCTTGTGCAGAAGAGCAGTGCTGCAGCAGAGACAGGTGATGATGCATGTACTTGTCATAGTTTGCACTTTGGAGGTAAATGGGCTGTCAATTGAATAATTAATTGTATAACCCACTGACTCTGAACTGGTAATGGAGCTATGAGCTGGGTTCCCAAGCAATAGTTCAAAGGTACGTGTTCCAGTACTGGGATCTCCTTGCTCAGTCTTGTAAGATAATAAGTGTATGATAAGATATAATTGGGCAATAAAATTAAAAAATATGCTAACAGCTTTTTTTCAGGAAAAGACTAGGTCAAGTCTAATAAATGATACAAAATAAAGGTAGGTAATCTGCTGTTCTCCCATAAGCCATACCTGTTGGCTAGGCTAGCTGGGATAATGGGAGTTGTAGTTGAAAATATCTGGGGGCTCTGGGTTGCCTACTCTTGACTTAATGTCTTTATGTATTTCAAAAATTCATGTTTGTGTTTTAAAGTAATGCGGGCTTTATTTCTTTGTTCTAATAACAATACCAATGTTATTCATGGTTATTCATGGTTTGGTTCTGGATTGGTAAAGATTTCCAAGTATTATTTTCTCGGTTTCAATATTTGTTGTAAATAGAAATTCACCCTTGTTATGATGGCATGGTCTAGTACGTTTGTTTGTTTGTTTGTTTTATTACATTTATATCTTGCTTTTCCTCCAGCTAGTTCAAGGCAGTATATATTATTCTCTCTGTTTTAACCTCACAGCAACCCTATGAAGTATAGATCAGATTATATTATACAAGTAAAGATAGTGGCTAGCGCAAGATTGCATGGCTTCAGGACAGACACAGAATTTGATCCTGTGTCTCTCTACCCCTAGACAGATGAGAATATGATCTAAACTCAGTGTAAAGGCTGTGTGGTCTACTTTTAAAATGGGAATATGCCAATAAACAGGTTCTACATGTTCATGTATGTGAGGAACTGCCAACAAGCTAGAGACAAAATATCCAAAAGAAACTTGACTTTAAGAAAATATTTGAAGTGGGGCATAAAAGAAAATTTGAAAAACCAAAAATGTTTGATGTTACACAGGCATAACTCATTAAAAAAATATGTTTAAAATCTTTTTCTCCTTTTCCCATGCCAGTAGTGATTTTGAATACCAGCTGACACTACGCACTGATCTCTACACAAATAAGCACACTCAGTGGTACTATTTCCAGGTCACCAACACCCAAGCTGGAATTCCCTACCGTTTCACCATTGTCAACTTCACCAAGCCAACAAGTTTATACAATCGTGGTATGCGTCCATTGCTGTATTCTGAAGCTGAAGCAAAGATCCATAAGGTGGGATGGCAAAGGACTGGAGATGGAATCAAGTATTACAAAAACAATCTCAGTCAAGATGGGCGCCAATGTTTTTCTCTAACATGGACATTTCAGTTTCCACATGACAGGGACACCTGCTATTTTGCACACTGCTATCCGTACACTTACAGCAATCTGCAAGACTACCTGTCAGACATTGCTGGAGACCCAAAGCGGTCCAAGTTCTGCAAGATCCGCATCTTGTGTCATTCTCTGGCTAGGAATATAGTCTATGTTTTAACCATTACCAACCCCCTGCAAGATGTTAAGGAGGAAAAACGCAAGGCAGCAGTCATTTTGACTGCTAGGGTGCACCCAGGTGAAACAAATAGTTCCTGGATGATGAAAGGCTTCCTGGATTACATTCTGGGGGATTCAAATAATGCTCAGTTGCTTCGAGATACTTTTGTTTTTAAGGTGATACCAATGTTGAATCCAGATGGTGTAATTGTGGGCAATTATCGCTGCTCTTTAGCAGGCAGGGACTTGAATCGTAATTATAAATCCGATCTCAAGGAATCTTTCCCTTCTGTCTGGTACACACGCGCAATGACCAAAAGGTAAAAAGGTAACATTGCTTATCTTTGTTTAGTATAGCCATTGTTTGTTCATTATTCAGCCAATATTAATTAATGGATGATCACTACTCAGTCTGTTCTCTTGCATTTATTTTTAGTTCAGAAATTACTGAATTTGGAGTACATATACATTTTGTTTTAATACTATTATCCTTTCTAACTGATATGTGAAATAGACAAATCAACCTCTGGAGGAGGAAAGGGAGGAAATGGGCTTCATCCACTGCAACAAAGGAAATGGTTCCTCAGTGAAGTTCTTTTCCCATCTAATCTGATTTTTTATATGATGGCCTAGTTTTCGTATAATAGCTTGGTTTTCAAAAAGAAAACCATCTGTCAAATATCAGCTGCAATGGAGAGAACATTTGTACAGCATCCATGCAGTATCTCTCAAGGGGAAAGGAAGGATAGAAAATAGGTGCAACTAAAATTGTTACATTTTATGGAAAAAGCACTGGTCATCTCAGCACTAATGAAGCTGACTGATAATCTACTGAAAACTGACCTGTTGGTAAATATGCCAGTACATAGAGGACATCTAAAAATCTAAAATATTTTGGAAGAGACTCTTACAATTACTATCATAACCCAGAAATCCAGACTGGGGGTCCTGCACTACAGTAACCAGAGCTGATCATATTTAATTTGCTCTCTTGTTACAGAATGATGGAAGAACGTAATGTTCTCCTGTATTGTGATCTTCATGGTCATAGCAGAAAAGAGAATGTCTTCATGTATGGCTGTGAAAAAAAGGAGCAGCATGAAGAAGGAGCATGTTTACATCAGCGCATTTTTCCTTTTATTATGAGCAAAAATTGCCCAGATAAAGTAAGCTAACTTTTGACTTTAATTATTAGATTAGAAAATTTGGGGGAAATGAATTCATATAATAAAGCAACAGCAACATCTAACAGTGCAGCTTGAAATGTAGAGCCTTAGTTTCATCAGTTACAAATCCAGCATTGCTTCCTTTTTTTTTATTAAAATTTTAAACTAATACTACAAACATCAAATATCACATACATTGGATTTACTGGGTCAACTCCCTACTACATATTTTTAACATTCTATAGTCAAATTCAAATCAGTTTATAATAACTTGAAAACTTCTCTAAATTTACACCAAGTCCCGTTTCTCCAGCCAGTTATAGAAAAAATCCCAAGTTTGATAGAAGTCAGTGTCTTCTTTCTCCTTCAATGATAAAGTCAATCTATCCATTTCTGCGCAGTCCAAAATCTTCCTTAAAATCAGTTCATCAGTGGGTAGTTCCTCACTTTTCCAGTATTGAGCAAATGCAATCCTTGCCGCTGTGATTAAGTGTAACATCAAATACATTTCCTGTCTGTTAATATCTTCCGGTATGATGCCTAACAAGAAAACTTCAGGTTTAAAAAAATTTCCTCCATCCATTTATGCATTTTAATCCAATACTTTTTCGCATTATCACAAGTCCACCACATATGATAAAAAGTACCCATTTTATGTTTACATTTCCAACATCTATTTGACATATTTGGAAACATCTTAGCTAATCAACTTGGCGACAAATACCATCTATAAAACATTTTATATAAATTGTCTTTATACAAAGTTGCTAATGTTACCTTAATATTTCTTTCCCATAGTTTTTGCCACTTTTCTAGTTCAACATTAAATCCAAAGTTTTGTGCCCATGTTATCATAGTTTCCTTAACCTGTTCCCCTTCCATTTTTCTGTCAAGTAAAAAATCATATAATCTTTTAATAACTTTCTCATCTGTTTTAAGCATCACTTGATTAAACTCTGTTAAGTCTTTGTAAAACCCCCATGCTTTACAATCCAGTTGCAAATCCAGCATTGCTTCCTGACAGTAAGGACCCTTAGGGTATGGAAAGGGCTTCCACAGGTGGTGGTTGAAGTCCCTTCAGTGAGGGTGTTCAAGGATAGGCTGGACATGAACATGGTAGGCATGTCATGAGTGCAGCCGACTGGAGCCGGAGAGGCCTGAGAGGCCTCTTCTGACTTGCTCTGTTTCTATATTTCTATTGCTTGAATTTGCCCCTGCTATGCTGTACTGCCCATTCAAAGTATGTGAGCTTTTCAGTGTATTGAACATCTGATAGGAACAGATTCACAGATCGTAACTGATGGGACCAAATGAATAATCTGCTTTTAGAAAAGAATAAATTCCTCCTCCAGAGAGCTCACAGGACAGATTTGGATAAGAAGGAAGGGGAGAGGCATGATAAAAGGGATTAATTTGAGCAAGTATCATTACATACATTTGGTTTAAATTGAGTTTAAGTTATATCACCCTGTTGGATATTATCATGCCTTACTTGGGTAGAACAGATGAGATTGTGATAATAACCTTTTGACTTTATAGAATATACAGTCTTCCCATACCAGGTACAGCTTTGTGAATTTGTTAAGCCCTAGTCAAGCTGTGGGACACCGAGATTACTTGAGCAGATGGCATGAAGTACTCCAGAATACCTTCTCTGTAGTAAAACTCATATGGCACCCATGTTATGCCCCATAGCTTAGAATGATAAAACAGAATAGGAGATATCTTTAGTGCAGATGGAGAAAAAAAACTTCATCAGCCTCTTGTATGTGCCTTTAATCAGACATATTTGGTGGCAGTGAGGGTAACAAAGAAACATCTCACTGTCTCTATTCAAACTTCTATTTTAGGGATCTATTATAAGCTGTCCCTAAGGATGTCCTAGGTCCTCTGAAGCCCACTGTAATGTATTTGCTAGACACATCTAGAACAAAATCTCTTGCAACTTCTGGCAGTTAGTCTCCAGAGTTGTTATAGCAGTTAAATCAGGTGAAGTACCCAGACCACAGCTTCATCTAGTTTTCTTGAATGGATTTAAGTTAGTACAGCTTGAGGTTGCTGAAAAGGTGTTTGAACAACTTTGTGCAACCAGTTCTGTATGGGATCCTTGCCCTTTCTGGCTGGGCCAGGGAGATGACTTTTTGTGAGGGGAAGTGTCCCCATCCCTCCTGAAAGGGTCTGTAGTGATAACATTCCTGATGAAATCCTCTCTAGACCCAGAAGATCCTAATCACTTCAGGCTGGTAGCATATGTTCCTTGCCTTAAGCAGGTGGTTGCTAACTACTTCCAGTCTTAGAGAGGACTGATTGTCTGGATTCATTTTGTTCAGTGTTCAGGCCAGGTTTTGGCATAGAAACAGCTTTGGTCACCCTGAATGATGAACTATGTCATGAGAGTGATGGAGAAGTGTGACCCCATTGTTACTCCTGGATTTTTGAGAGGCTTTCCATACCATCATTTATGGTTTTCTTTTGGGGCAACTCTCTGAGTTAGTAGTAGGTAATAGTGCATTGCAGTGGTTCCACTCCTATTTGGGTGACCAGATCCAGAAGATGGTGCTTGGGGAATATTGTTTGGCCTTATGGATTCTGTCATGGGATTCTTGAGGGGTTAGTTCTGTCCCCCATGCTATTTAACATTTATGTGAAATCACAAGGTGGAGTCATCTGGTGCTTTGGACTATGTTGCCATCGGTAGGCAACACAAGGCTCTGCTTGTCCTTTTCACCTCCAAGTGAGGCTGTGGAGGTGCTAACTTGGTGCCTGGCTGTGCCATAGTATTGAATGAAGACTAACAAACTGAAGCTCAATCCAGACAAGACTGTGATACTGTTAGTCAATGGTTCCTCTGTCCAGATGGGAGATGTTCAGTCTGTTCTGGATGGGGTTGCAGTCCTTTTAAAGGAGCAGGTCTGGGGACCCTCCTGAACCCATCTTTATCCCTTGAGGCTCAGGTGGCTTCAGTAGCATGGAGTGCTTTCAACCAGCATACGCTGCTTTGCCAGCCACATCACTGTCTGGACAGTGATAGCTTGGTTTCACTAATCTACACTCTGGTAATCTCAAAATCAGATTACTGCATTGCACTCTGTGCAGTGCTGCCTTAAAGACTGTTTGGAAGCTGCAAGGCTGCAAGTAGTGTAAAACGTGGAAACCAGACTAATAACTGGGACCAGAAGGTCTGATCACTTAACACTAATTCTGGCCTGCTTATACTGACTGACCATATACTTTCAAGCCTGATTCAAGGTTTTGGTTTTAAACCTTGGAACCACAATACTTGATGGAACATGTCCTGCTACCCCCAATTTAACCATACACAACATCTGAGGCTTTCCTCCAAGTGCCACCTCTGAGGGAGGCTTGGAGGGTAGCAGCAAGGGGAACGGTTTTTTTAGTGGCAGTCCGTTAACTGGAATTATCTCCTCACTGAGGACTGCCTAGAGCTAACTTAGTCATTCTTTTGGCACCATCTTAAGAGAGCCCTTTATGTTGAACTACTTAAAGGTTATGTAATGGCCAAGGAAGGCCATTCCATAGAACTATTCTGATGTTTTCAACAGAGCTCTTTTGTACTAAATGCTATTTTAGTCTTAAATTGTTTTAGAAGTTTTAAATTGTTTTCAAAATCTGCTTTAATTTTTAATGGGTTTTATTGTATTGTGGTCCTGTTCAGGAAATACTGGGCATTCTAAACTACCTGAAGAGCTTCTGCTATTAAGTGAATAAATAATAAGTGGTGGTACTGGTGTTGGTGATATAATGAATAGATAACATAAATAGAAGCTTTTTTTTCTATTAATGGTAAACATATCTTCATTGGAGTTCAAGTGTGATTACCACAATTTTATTTATATCTGGTTATAACAAAGTGATTTTAGCTTTCACCATCTTAAAAGTTTGTAAAATTAAATAGTAGCTTAATTTTCCTTACTGCCTAAGCCATTTCATTTCCTTACAGCCATTTCAATGGAATAGCACAAATATCCTAGGGTTTCATGCTGCCATTCATGGATACATCAGAATTCCTTTTTTAAAAAATGCTAAAATGGTTGCAAAGATAGGGAGAGGCCCTGGAGGTTGAGAACATTGTGTTAATTACCCACAAGAGACCATGAGTGAAGAATCACAAGCACACAATAAATACCTTGTGCATAAAGACTCACAGCCTCCTGATGATCACTACCACAACATGAAGCTGTTGTATCATGCATTTCTCTCTTTCCCTCTTGCCCCACAACACATCCAGTGATGTGGACTGGGCAAGGAAAAAAGCATGGTCTAGTATGCCAACATTATATCATAGTTAAGTACATAGTAAGGAGGAAGTATGACATAGGAAGACCATTTTCCACTCCAACCATAAGTCTGCTGTAATGTGAGTTTGGCTCTTCAGAGGAAAAAATTGTCCCTCACTGCAGGAGGATGTAACTGATTCCACTTCTCTCTCTGTAAGTTCTCATTCGCAGACTGCAGTTTCAAGATACAGAAAAGCAAAGAAGGAACAGGTCGAGTAGTGATGTGGAAGATGGGCATCAACAATAGCTATACCTTAGAAGTTACTTTCTGTGGGTCTAAATTGGGTAAGGCAAATATAGTTTTGCTCTAGAATTTATATTAAAGGATCCAACAAAATCTCATGTTGTATAATTGCAGATTAGGCAGAATGTAATATTAACTCATTATGTTTAACTGAGATATATGCTGAATAGATAGAGATGTTACAGGTGCATATTAGAATTGCATTTAGCCCAAGAAATAATATCTTTGGTTTCCAGAAATAACTCTTAAAAGGAACAGATCACTACAGATGGATAGAATTTTTACTCATGTCCTCAAACTCATGATATTTTATTTGATATTGGAGAACCAGATCAGCAACTGTAGTTATACAGGTCTTCTTTACACTATAAACTGAATTAATACTCATTCCCGCTTCCATACGAATTATAATACTGTAGGGGCTATGAATGGAGAATTTCCAGCACCATCCAATTCCCAGAATGTTTTCTAAGGAACTATGATGGTTAAGCTGATAAATATTATTAATAGTGTATTCAAATTCTTTAATCTAAAATAAGTGCATTCTGTCCAGTCAGTGCCATTTGAAAATATGGAGTGAAAAACTGTTTGCTGGCATCTATTGTGAAAGCCAATTCAAGATGCCTGAGAGAAGGCAGAAGGAAGATGTATAGAATATTTGGCTAGCAAAAATGTATTATAAGCTTGTGAAATAGTTAGAATTCAATTTTCCTAGCCATATTGTAGTAGATAAAATTATTGCTGGTGCTGTGTAGCACAGTTATTTCTTAACCAGTGAGGTTTCTCCTTCATGTCTCAGGTGCTAGAAATGGTACCCACTTCAGTACTAAAGATTTGGAGTCCATAGGATCCCATTTATGTGATTCACTGTTACACTTCTGTAATGAAAAGAAGAGTAAGGTAATGCAAAGAAAAACTACTTTGACATAGAAATGTGTGGCAATAATGCCAAAGAGTTTATTCCCACTTGGAATTAGTGAAACACTAAAATTGTTAACTGGGTGTGTGATCTTTCCTAGTATAATGAATGCCTGAAGGAATTGGAAGAATTGATGAAACAAGATGATTCAAGCACCTTTGTCAATGACACAATAGACAGAGATTCCAGGTAAATGGAGCTGTTCTTACCTGTTTCTATTTCCAGCCCATAACTGAGGAAATTAGTAGCAGTGTCATGTTATCAAGATGAGTTACCTGAATGGATAATTTATTTACTGAGCACTTGAATTTTAGTTAATATTTTGTAATCAATGGCCTTGCAAATGAAAACAACATAATTATTTTCTTTTGCAGTTCTGATAGCTCAGATGCCAATGAACTTGCAGTTAAACTAGATATCCAGGTATGGTATAAATTCCCACCAGGGGATTTAAACTCTTACACTGTTGTCTAATATGGCTGGGTGGGAGGAACATGGAGAAAAAGTATGCTTCTGTACTTTTCCTGTGGCCATCTTAGTGTTTTATCCATGTTCACAAGGAAGAGAGGCTGAGGTGCTGCTAGGATACATCATATCCCAGTGGAGCCTTAGTCCTCCCTTTCCCCTGGAACACTCCTTCAACATCAGCTCCACATTGGTTTTGCAGGCATGACAGCTGCAAGAGTAGAAGCAACATGCTTTGAATTTGGAGTCTTAGGTCCAAGCATGAAGTACATTTCCATGATTGGAGATGGAAATTTGAATTTTCCTATGGCCAGTCAGACAGTTATAGGATTTTGCCCTTATTTTATAAGAAATTCTTTTCTTCAGCATAGAGAATGGTGACTGAAAAATGGCAAAATAATGTGGTCTCTCTTGCTATCTTTATCTTTATTGTCAAACACCAAGCTCTTTATGGAGATACAGGGAAGTGACAGGACTTGAAGTAGCCCAGAGTACATTTTAGGAGCCTTCCGCTCTGTATACCTACTGAATTTAGGATAAAATTTGAAGGATCTCAGTGACTTCACAGACTTACAATTTTGTTCTTAGCTACTGGTTTAACTTTCAGAAAAGCTCTGGTAGGCTTTGTTAAAACCTAATACTTCAACAAACAAATTGTTGGTTAACATCAAATAAATAATGGCTGAATTATTGGTTAAATTGACACTGTTGGATAGTTTTTGATCTGGTAGAACAGACATTAGGGATGTGTGAGGAATCCATCTGGGAATGGGAATCCATCAGATTCCCTGGGTTAGGCTTCCCTGGACTCCAATCCACTTTGCAGTGGTCCTGAGTCTGAGATCCTGCCAAGTTTGCACAGTGTTTGTGTGGTACTTGCCAGGAATCAAGCCCCACATGCTGTGCAAACAGTCCCTCTTCTGTGCCACCTGCAGCAGCCCAAACAACTGCTACGCATAGTGTGTAAAGGTACACAGCTGTTCGACATGGAAGGAGGTTGACATGGTCACATGCAGTTTGCCAGGAATAGAGCCCTGCATGACTGCTAGCAGGGCTTCTTTCCCTGTCATATGTAGCAGCTGTTTGGGCTGTTGTACCTGACATAGAGGAAGGCTGCCAGTTGCACAACTTTCATTCTGCAAGTGTTTGCAAACATCATCTTGTCTCAGGTCACTGTGCAAAACCAGACTGAGCATGAGAGGAAGTCTGTGAATGCTAGAAAGAAGGATTCTTCTAGGGTTTGTCCAAATCCTAATAGACACTATGTTTCAATGAGTCAGGGGTACACAAGGGTACCACAGCAAGACCATAAAAAGTCTCCTGTCCTTGCAAGATTGCTCACAAAGAAAAATTACCATTCCTCCATCATTAGAGTAGCTGTACCTACCTCATTACATTTTTCTTTTTTGCAAAATACTTAAAGGTTTAGTGGTTCCCTTGTCTTAGACTTAAGAAAGCACTGAGAAGACCTCTTACTGGAATTCAACCCTCCACATAGGGTTGAATTTCAGCCTTGTGCTACAACAAAAATGTGAATCAAAGCATGGGCCAGATTAATTCAGGCAGACTCCTTCAATAGGTTGCAAGAGGCTAACATGCCAAGCAGCAAATGGTTGCTCTCCCTTTCTTCCAACACTGCAACAGTGGTTTAGACTTCTGAGAGGCCCAGCATCATGAATGAGGCAAGAAATGACCCTTTCTGGGCACAAGCCTTGCCTCCCTCTCACAGAAGTTATAGCATCTGCCTCTTGTTGATTACTGAAAGACAGTGAGCAGAGATTGTAGACTTGGACTCTACGTGCCCAGAAATCAAACAGTGAGCAAATTCCCTATGAATTTTCAAAAAGGGTAGTGTTCTACAAATCCACCATCTAAAATATTTAGTCCATGTCACTTTGTGCTCTGATCTCATTCCTTTGCTTGTTTCCAAACCCAGTCAGAGGAGCGGACAATGATGTGGATGAGAATGGAGAAATGGCACACTCCCAGGAACACAGGATAAATTAAATTAGATGCTCTTGAGGGAGATGGGGAACAAACTGGAAGACTGTCATTTTTGGCAGCAGCCCTGTTTTTGCATCACTGAGATTTAGTTTAGATGAATAAAAATGCTTTTAGTAAAAATTAAAATTGGATGTCTTCAGTCCTATTAAGTCTAGCTTTATGTATTTATTGGTTTTTGCTCCTGCTTGACAGACAAAATCAAGAAAGAAGTATCTGAAAACAAAGAAGGAAAGGAGTTTCTTTCTGGAATCATCCACAAGAAGATATTCTAAACATCCATGTGAGCCAGTGGTAAATTATATTTTTTCTGTGTTATATATTTGCTATGTTAATTAGTATTTATAAGTTACCTATAATACAGCTAGGAAATAGGAAGGATAAACAACATGTAGCATGCTTCAGAAAGGCTTATAACATTGCTTCAGAATATGTTGTTACAGAGCAGTCCTGAGAAGCTCTAGCAAGCTATAGGACTTTTCATATTCCCAAATCTGAGATTGGAAATACACTCAGACTCCCAGATCTGAGATTGGGAATCCATCCTCAGATCTCTCTGCCCCATTGCAGAACTGTACCAGATGCTTCTCCAAGATCATAACAGTGACCTTGGAGAAAGGATTTATAGGGTGGAGAGGAGGACACTGGAGCCAGCAGAATACAGTGGATCCTGGTGGTGTCACAGCCTCCTTCCTTCCCTCTCCTTCACCCGACTTAGCTAAAATAGGCCATAACGCTACTTTGCAGAGTAGCGTTTGGAGAGTTACAGGAATTTCCCCTGGATTGCATCACTGGTGTGGCATATCAGTATTAGGTCACTTTTAGAGTCAGTTTCACCATTAGTTGTCTCCCCATTTCTCTCCCCCATTAGACTAGATAGGGGCTTCAAACTCAGGCATCCCCATTCTTTCTTTTATTCTGCTCATCACAGATGAAGTTACAGACTGGAGCAAGGAAATCCAGTGTTGATATGAATAGGGTATTTCTGGACCTTATGAAAACGATAAAGTTTATATCTACTGTTTAAATACAGCCATTCCTCTCTTTCTGTTTAGAGTGAAGCCAAAAAAACAGAAGACTGTTCTTGTAGAATGTCCAAGAGCCAAGAACGAATAATTAAAAATGTAAGAATTTTGAATGTGTGTGTAGCGATCTTTACAACATGTCTGTCTAGGCCAGCAGTCTGTATTTCACCACAGTGATAACTGGCTGCCCACAGGATCCCATAAACAAGATATGAGTGCAACAGCACCCTTCTGCCTCTTTAATCTCTGACATTATTTGCATTGGATTCTACAGAAAAATAGCACAGTAGTTTGTTTACAATAAACATTGCTTAGCCATATCTCCTACTCATGTAAATTCATTGGGTTATCTCTACTCATTATGCTATGTTCATGTACTCCAAACTAATTTTCTTTAAATATAACTTTAGATGTTTTTAATTGCTCTTTCCCCCAGTACTTGTACCAGTGAGAATGTTAACTGTATGTTGGATGTGTTAACTATGTGTTGGATAAGCTATGCAACACTGCTGTATTTACTATTTCTTAGTTATAACTATGAAAGACAGTCACTCCAGTCTAACAAGGGAGATCCATATGTGTTTCCATGTACTGAGGATGTAGATAAGTGTCTGATTCAGCAACTGTACAACAGATCTCATTAGGGCCCCATTGAACTGACTTGGCACATCTTCTAATCAGTAGAGATGCTGAGGCTACCACTTCTTCAAAACTGGAACTAAATACAAGCCAATGACTCTGAACATTTAGAACCAACCTTCGTTATTGATGAAATATTGTTACCTCCTGCTTTTGCCAGCTATCAGGTATAATTTTAGTTCTGCATATGAATAGAAATAAGGATAATTTCTCTTCTCCACAGACTCGGGTTTTTCAGAAATTAAAACTAATGGAGCTACAAAACATGCAAAGAGAAAAGTATGAAGTAACCAGACAGAATATAAAGCCTTTCCCTAGAGCCCCCAATGCTGAAAAGGTTTGGATGTCTCATTAGTAGAATAAATTTTGCAACATAAATCTGCAAACGTTGTCAGTGTCATCTTCCTTTTTATATTTTGATGCATGTTAGTGACAACCATGAGCTGAGTTTGACTTTGAAATTTGGAAAAACTAAATTAATACAATGTGGTGTTGTCAAAAGAATATCAGATTGTGTACATTGCTACTTAAAAGCAATCTGTGCTTTGTAGAATGACATTTGTGGAACTCATTTTAGTTAAAAAAATGTATTATAAGTCTTCTTATATTCTGTTTATTTACAGTGCCTAGAGAGCAGTCTTTTACAGTCTTTATGGTGCAGCCCAATGTCCCCTGTGCTTAATGTGAAAGTAGGCTTTCCTACTTTCACTGTCTTGACCCTTTCTTCTTGCATTCCATCTAAACTGCTATTTTTGGCTGTGTAGATGACCCACTGTGGAGCGGGAAGAAAAAAGTCTGGGGCACTGTTTGGATGTAGCACACGCCCTAGACCTCAGGCTCCTCATGTCCTCACACCCTGGCATGCCCCCTTAGCCCTCTCTGAGCTGATTTGTGACATTAAAGAGGCAGCCAGCAAGGTGCTTTCTGCAGTGGCTTTGAGGGAATTGGGATAGGGGCTCTCTGTTTGGAGTCCCAGTTCCATGGTAATTGGAGCCGAGATGCCAAATAATCCTATGCCCTCCCTGATATTGCTGGAAACCCATAGGGTTGCATGTTTAGGGAGAAATCCTATGGCTGTTTAGACTGATAAAGATCCTACAAGTCCTACAAAGACTGTGTCCTTAGCATTCCTTGAATATCTCATATAAAGACTTAAATCTGTTGGTCTCATTCATTCTAGAGGGTCTACCTTAAGTAGAATTAACTGGGTATATTTGGTTAACATCTTTTGCAGGAGGTTGTTTTCACTCTTTTAGGTATGATAGAAATGCAGAGATAATCTCTGCAAACATTGTGCAGTGCATTCAATGTGATTGCTACCTAATTGTATGACATTATATAAAATGAAATTGATGCAATGATATTCCCATTTCTCAAAAGAGATTCCTTCAGCTTCAGTGCATTAACATTTTGTGCTAGACAGAGAAAATATTCTTTTGCTATAATGCTAGCTTAGGGCCAAAGTTAACCTTATGATAATTGTGCTTTAAGAAAAGCATGGTAAAATTGGCAATTTTTAAAGAGGGAAGAAAATAGCTATGAGGTCCTAATTTGGAACCTGAGGCTGATGCAAAACCTCCTACTCCCTGTTATTTGCCCCTGCAGGTACTGTTTTCAGTAAAACAGCACTGTTGGGGGCAAACAGAAGTCACAGAGCTCATTTTCGGTAGGAAAGCAGTGTGTGGGAACCTGATCCAGACTGGGAGCACATTCCAGCTAGCAGTTTTATTTTCAGAATAAAAGGGGCTAGGGTGAGGGTTAGTTTAAGCAGGCTATTCTTTGAGGTAATGTAGCTCTTAGTTTCCCATATGCAAGGAAATGCTGCACTTTTAAACAAGTTATTTTCATGAGATTTTTAAGGTGATACTGACCCACTATAACACTGTATGCCATGCATTCCTATACAGTGAGGACAGTTCCAAAGTAAACCCACTGATTCAGAAGAATTCAGACACAGAAGTATCCATTCAAGCTTTCGTTGGGCCAAACCTAAAAGCCAAAGACAATGCTCCATGCAGTTTATTTTATGATCTCCCCCACACCACTTTTCTTTAAAATTAAGGAGGAGCCTGCCATCAGGAACAATAGAAAAGCAGGGTGGAGAGGGGATGCTCAACCTTTTCCTTTCCATTTGTTTTTGGCTGAAAATCACACTCTTTCCCTGCTGCTTCTCCACTTCTTTTGTGCACAAGAAAAAATATGAATACTTAGAAATACCAAAAGAAGGATAAATCATAAATAATTAATTTCACTTCAGAATGGGTAGTTGGTCCACCTGGAAGAAACATGCAAACAAACAGTAAGAGATTCAGCTCAAACAAGAAAATTGTAAAGTAAAAGAAAACAGAATGAAGACATTCCTAGATTGTGATTCTTAAAACTGATTCACATGAAAATATATGTTTTGAACACATTTTGTTTGTACAGTATCCAAATCTAGAAATTGCTATAGCACCACATAAGAACCAGTGCAGGAGCAAAACTACCATAAGCAGCAAATGTTTAAGAATAGAGTACAAAGATGTTCATTTATTGCTGGGAGAATCTGAGGATCCTTTCCAATGGCACCTGTTTCCAGGTTTGGAAGTCCTTGCACAGTGGATTTGATCCCTGCTGTCTGTGGCTTCAACCCACACTGATTCCTCACCCATCCAGATGGCAGATGGGACTACTATGGAACTATTGATTACATGAAGCTTTCCTGCATCCTTGCAGAAGTGTTCCCAAACAATGCATTCTTGCAGGAGTGTTCCCAATCTGCCTTTTCTAGGGTTGCTCTGCACACTTCTGGGAGTGTGCTAAAGGGGAACATCAAGAGCTAGGGAAGCTGCCACCCACAAGCTGTGCCTGCACATACTCCTTCCATTCCAGTCTGAAAGGAAGCAGAAGGAGGTATTATGAGGTAAGCAGAATAGTGGTTACAGTAGCAGCCAGCACTCAGCAAGTTACCATAAAAAGTCCTGCTTGTACTGTTAGTTCTCTCAACCTTAATGTTCTGTCTCTGAATTATAACAACATTTGCTGTGCTCAGTTAATATTCTGGAGAGTTATAACCTGTCAGGTCAACTTGATGATTCAGGGGTATGATGTGCAAGGCAACTTCTTCACAGTTTATATCTCTAAAAGTGGGCTTTTGGGAGTATGCAAAAAGTCTGTACACTTCCCTTTGTACCCTTCCTGTCTTAAAGAGGAACTGCCCTTTTAAACATCAGAGTTACAGTGCCACATTGGCAGTCAACATGTCACACAAAGGACAGCTAGCAAGTTGTTGTGACATATCTAGAGCAAGAAAGCACTGGGGTCAAGTTAGGATACAAACTCAGATCTGCCCTCCTGACTGCCTTTCCCATGCTAAGCTGCTGGTTGCTGCCAAGACCAGCACCAAACCACACCAGAAGCATTGGGAAGGGGAGCACAAGAATGACAATATCTCACATATATTTCAGTACGTTGTTGGAAAAACATCTATGTGAGTTACATGGAGTACTTCAAGAAATCTCTTGTCAAATGCTCCCTTCTGAACATTTTGTACTATGCTTCAACATTCCAGTTTTATAGCATTATGGCAGCTATATTGGATGGCACTCTGAAGAATTTTTCAGAAAAAAAGACAATTTTGAAAACATAAGATACACTAAACTGAAAAAACTGTATATAACTGTATAATACAAATAGAGAAATCCTAAACTTTGGGCTATATATTTCAGTGATTCCTTCTGGGAAAAATATTAATAACATCATTGTATTTATCTTCCTTATAGTCGACAACTTTTGCAGGACTTCATGAACTTTTTAAAGAAAATAGCTCTATTGTAAAGGATAAATCATACCAAATGTCATACAACTCTGAAACAGGTAATAAACATGAGTGAAACATTTTTACCAGCATGTGAACCCTAGTTTTTGGGGAGGATAAAATCACATAGTTGTTATATGACCTAGTAACACAGAAACAGAGCGAGTCAGAAGGGGTCTCCTGAGCCATCTAGTCTGACCCCTGGCTCTAGCCAGCTCCGCTCAAGACATGTAGTACAGATGTTAAATTCCAAAACTCCTATCTATGTTTAAGAGAAAAAGAGTAGAACAGCCTCAGATGTTTCCTTCCCTTTCCTTCTCTCCTTTCCTGTGAATTTCCTTTTGCTTTCCATGAATAGCCTTAGATTTGGTGTAGTATTAGGGATGCATTATTTCTAATTATCAATAAGACTAATCACTACTGCCTCCATAACCAGACTTTGATATGGATTTGGTTATAAAAGAATCTGATTTGTGTTAGTCATGGCTGTCATCAGTGCAGATATAATGCCTAATAAAACAAGTCATGCATATGGTTAGTTTATGTATGGGGTAGGGAAATTTGTGAGCCCATGGCACATTTCACTGACATTGGACAAATTAAATTGAAATTACAGATATTTCATCAGCCTTGGATATTAAAACTCTCACTTTATGTTCACAGTGTCGTTGTTACATGCCATCAAGTTGTCTTCAATTTATGGTAGCCCTGTGAATGAATGCTCTCCAGAATGTTCTGTCCATCCCAGTCCTGCTCAGCTCTTGTAAACTCAAGGTTGTGGCTTCTTTTATAGAGTCAATCAGACTCTTATTTGGTCTTCCTGTTCTTGAATTGCCTTCAACTTTCCATGGCATTGTTGTCTTAAGTGAGTTTTGCCTGGAAATATGACAGTATTAGTTTCGTCATGTTTGCTTCCAGGGAAAGTTCTGATGTGATTTGTTCTAGGATATGCCTGTTCCTCTTTCTGTTGGTCCAGGGTATTCACAAAGCTCTCCTTCAGCTTTTTCCTGTCAGCTTTTTTCACTGTCCAGCTTTCATATATAGTGACCAGGAATGCAGTAGTGTGGAAGATTTAGGCCTTGATCTCCATTAAAACATCTTACATTTGATTGTGTTTTCTAAAGTTCTTTCATTCCTGCCCTTCTGTTTCAGTCTTCTAATTTATTGGCTGTAGCCTCCCTTTTCATTGATGATTGAGGTATGCAAAATCTTTCAAAATTTCTATTTTTTCCTTGTTGACCTTAAAGTTGTGCAACTTTTCTGTAGCCAGTATTTTAATTTGCTTAATGTTCCACCGCAGTCCTACTTTGGCACTTTCTTCTTTCATTTTCATCAGAAGTCATTTCAGTTCATTGCTGCTTTCTGCCAGTTACACGATCTTCTTCTTCTGCCAATATTATTCCTTCATATTCAAATCCTTATGCTTTCCTTATGTTATATTCTGGGTATAGATTGAAAGGAAAAGACAATATACAGAACTGTTGCAAAGAACAATTTCAGCAGAAGTAAAAAGAACTCCAAGGTATTAGCAAATTAGATTGTGTTTTTCAGATCTTGAACAATTATGGAAATGCTTCTTAAATTATATATTTTTCCATTTGATTGAATATTGCATTCATGGTGTAGTTTTCCATTCCCTGTACATTTTGGGAATATCCAACTGGACACTTTCTATACTTCTAGCTCTATTTATGTATGAATTTAAACATGAAAAGCAGTAGGTGAAGAAAAAGAACCATAATTTCCTATCACCTCTACATGGGGAAACTAAGAGTAGCATGTTTGGAACAAAGCAAGATCTGAAATTATTTCAAACTGTGGTTTGTTCCAAACTTGGTAACTTTAGTTTCCTAGTTCAGATGTTACTGTAGTTAATTGTAAACTGTAATTGCTGACTACCTAGTCTTTTACAGCACATCTAGAAAAATGAATGAAAAGCAGTCCATGGATGGAGCATGTGGGCTCAAAGCTTGTGCATCTCTGCTTGTTAGCCATGATATCTACCCAAACTAGGCCACTCTCAGCTTAAACTATCTCATACTGTCATGAGGCTAAAATATGATGATACTGTTGTTCTATCTTTAAATTTTTGGGAACAGGGGGGATACAGATATTGTAATTAAATATAACTCAGAATGGCCATGTAAGTCTGTTGCAGCAAAATCAAAGTCTTGCTGCACCTGAAAGACAACCAATTTATGACATAAGCTTTCATGAGCCACATCAGGTACATAAAATTTCATCCACAGTAGGCATGTATACAGAAAGAATATAAGAATACAGAAATAATATCTAAGATGGAAATGAAATACACAAAACAATCTTGGATAGTTACATTATAGCAGAAATCTATACAAAATGAAATCAACAACTATTCACAATAGTTAGTAAGAACATGTATGTATTTGTGTTTGCATGTTTCTAAGTCTAAGTGCATATGTGGAGACAAATGCATTGGAGCACATGCCAGCATTTGGGACTAAAGCCAATTCAGCCTTCATTCCAAAATACATTCCCTACCCCAGTTCTAGTAGAATGCCTGTTTTTTTGTGCTTTGCCTATGTACTTTGCCTTACTTCTCTGTGTTATATATGTGTGCAGATGGGTACACACACATTCCAATTTGAGGACACTTATCTGATGAAGTGTACCCTAGTCTACAAAAACGTATGCCATAATTAATTTATTAGCCTCTAGAGCAGACCTGGGCATTGTACGGCCCGCGGGCCACATCCGGCCCGATGGCTGACCCTGACTGGCCTGCATGAGGTCACTGGCAAATTAAAAGTCAATGCAAATATATATCATCGTAATATAGATGCAAGCAATACAACTGCACTGCTTTTATTTTGAAGGATCTGCTAAATTGAATTTATTGCTTTTCATGTAATGTTAATGTTTTTGTGAATATTCATTAAACAGTGTTGTTCTGTGCTCCACATTTTCATTGTATCATTGTAATGTTTCATTTACTGTTTTTATAGAGATATATATTGAGCGGAGCTGTAAGTGTATTGGTCCGGCCCTTAACAACTGTCAAAGTTTCTCATGTGGCCCCATAGGAAAATTAATTGCCCACCCCTGCTCTAGAGTCTTTCTAATGATTCTGTAACAATGTGTATTTTTGAGATTCCTCTATGATGCATTAATTGCATGTTCTTTTGCATAAATCTTTTTACCTTTGCCCCTCAGATTCTGTGCCAGATGAATCAGCTAAATACTCAGTCCAGTATCTCAGTCACTATTTCCCTGAACAAGGATTGAGTAAGTAATTCATATAATAATGCATATGTAATCAGGATGCACTAGATGTACAATTATATGCAATGCAATTAAAATTATGAGCTTTGTAATGAATAGATTTGCAATAGATCTTAGGTAAGAGCAACCTCATGAATTGTATTTTGTCCAGTCCTTTATCATAAGATGAAAGATACTACCCTGTGTCTGGTTCCATTTTTTGTTGCATACAGATATTGGCTGGGACCTAGTCCAACCTTTGAAGCACATCCTCTCCCAGAGACTCTTCTTGCCTCCTGCCATCCTTAACAAAATGTGTCACACCCCAAAAAGAAATGGTGCACTTTCTGGCTGTCAACTTCCTAGGGTGGAAAATAAGGGGAAAGAAGCAAAGATCCATCAAAGATGTAAGTAACTGGGTTGTGGGGGTAGGGTGTACACGCATCTGTGTGCATAGCAAGATGGAACTCTCCAGGTGCATTTGTATGTACTATACATAGTAGAACAGAACATTTTCCTAAGCAAGATGCCTCTTCTTGCAAGTATAGGTCAATCTGGCCATTTACAGTAGCATAGCAAAGGGTTTCGTATCACCAAATGTCAGTATCCCAAGGATATGCATTTATGTAAAAAAATGGTGATATTAGAGTTTATTTCTTGGATATCACGTTTGCAATTGAGAGGCATGCATGAAGGTTATATTTTATCCTTGCCACTCTTCTGCAGTTAGGCTAAGACTTGCCAAAGGCCTCCTAGACAGTTTAATAGCTGAAAAGGAATTTGAACACGCATCTCTCTTGTCCAAACACAAGGCACACTCTAATCTATTAAACCACTATGACTATCAGTTGTTAATAGCCATTATACAGACATGGGTATGTAGAAAGCATTTTCTTAAGGCTCTGGCGATACTGTACAACCATAAACTTGAAAATGCCCCTGGGATTATCTATTTGGATTTATAATAGGATGCTGTAGAGTGTACACTAAGAACTGGGCTGTGTACATTTCAAAAATTAAAATTTGGCAATCTTCTGACATGTGTAGCCTATGTACTAGGCAATGTAGCACACATAGACAGACATTTTTCCATTGCACTGAATAGATAAATACTGTTAAAGTGCTCAGTAAATTCTGCTTGTCTAATTGTGTAAATGAACTTTCAGAAGATTCAAAACCATGAAAAATACAGGCAGGATGTTTACAGAGTGGGGAGGAAAGAAGAAATAAAAAGGGAATGTTCTGGGATCTGTAGTGCAAGGCAGTCTAGAAACATAAAGCCAGAGGAATCAAAATAATCTCTGATGGCAGGGAGGAGCTTCTAAGCAAGAGCTATTTCAGAGCTGAGAGTCAGAAGATTTCAAAGTTGAATTTGTGCTCTGGGTAATCAGGAGTAGGCAATAAACTACTTTCAATATGAGAACTCAGCTCTACAATACATTTTATATTTTATTTAAAATTATTCTTTCCCAGTTTGCTTTTAAAGTTATATAAAATTGAATTTTGCATACAGAGTAGTAACATTTGCAGCTGCAGTCATAAATTATTGCAGAATAAAAGCCAACCAAACTTCCTAAACTCCAAATTTAAAATAACATATTCTTAAATGCCCCTGCCTATGCAGAAATAAATAAATGCAGCATGATTTTCTGGCAGCTTTCTTTGGGATGGAGTTTAAAGTCAGATGTTCCTCTTTTTATGCGCAGAGTAGTTCCTCACCACTCGGTCATCACAGAAAACCTAAATTCATCAGGGATGAATGACAGTTTTCCATGTGTGGCCTACCACCAGAGCTGAGTTCACTAGCTTTGTGAAAGAAGAGAAGAGTTACAGCCTGATTCTATTCAGAATTTACTTGAGGCTTTTCTACATGAGGCATTTATTGTGCTCTTAAGATTTCTCTATCACTGTTGTTTCAGGGTTCTGTAGACAATGTCATGATCCTCCAATTTCACTTGTCTTTTTGGGAGCACTTTCCTGTTTTTGGTTTTTTTAGCATACAGAAAATGTACTGTTAAATTAAAACGGGAAAGGTTTATTTACTTTCCCTGGTGTATTTGTGCTATTCTGCTATAGCACAACTCCACCTTGAAGTTGCATAGTGGAAAAGAAGGAAAAGAAAATCTGTGTGTGTAGAGCTTGGATTGATGCTGCAACAAAACCAGAAGTAAATAACAGTGATTAATTGCCTTACCTACAAAAGCTCTTAGTGGTACACTGATCTCTGCATACTATTAGAGCCTACTCTGTTATCCAGTACTAAAATTGGGGGATTTTGACCCGCACAACAGCCTCTAAAATCTTTTGAGCTTTTCAAAATAAAAAATGGTGAAGAAAAGTAAGTTATTCCCTTCCGCAACAGAAAACCACATATTTGGTCGATAATGTGTGACTTGGGGGATGGTGGGGCAGCTTGGTTTTATCAGCAAAAACACCAATAGATTATCATAACAGACTTTGCATCAGAATAAAGGGCATATAACTGAAAAATCTAATATGAAAGTTCTAATTTTCAGCAGTGCTCCAAATTCTAGTAATTAAATAAAAAGTCATAAAGAAAACTTTTCAGAGAAATTAAAACAGATACACTTTTAAAATGTTTCCTTTATGTACATCCCTGCAATTTATACAATATCTTAGTAGTATGTTATGTTTCTTTCTTACAGCTTCTCTCATACAAGTGGAGAGACATCCTAGGTAGGAATATTTTATACTTGTCATCAGCAACGTTCATGTAGATTTCTGGAAGTAATTCCCATTGAAGTCAGTGGGACTTACTTCTTAGTAGACATATATAGGATTTACTGTCATTTTTTTTGTCTTTGTACTATAAAAGTCTAAGATCGGTGCAACTTTGTTATTCATTTCCAATAGCAGATAATTTACTTTTAGAAGAGTACAAATAATATGGAATAGTGTTGCGGTTCTTGCTATAATTTTTATTCTTAGGTTTTAGAGTGAAAATCTAAGGACATGGAATATCATGTCACTGATCTTTCTAAGCTGCTATGGAAGCCCTTTTTCTTTCTACTGAAGAGCACGGGAAAATCCTCCAAATACATTAATAAATGCATTTTAATTAGAGCTGTAATGTTTAATTAAGTAATTGGTTAGTTAAATTAACAGTATACTCTTATGCATGTCTACTCAGAACCCATTAGGTTCTAATTTGAACCCATTAGTTCAATTATCCTTACTCCCATGTAATTGGTTATAAGATTGTAACCTTTTAATCAACCAGAAAGTAGTCCCTGATTTATCAGCTAACAGATTTATCTGAGCAACTCATTTTATATTCTCTTTCTCTCTCTCTGCATCTGCTTAAACCTGGTGCTTTCTAGATGTGTCAGACTACCAGTGCCTATGCTGGCTGAGAATGATAGGGGTTATAGTCCAGCACATCTGGAAGACACCAAATTAGAGTAATCTAGTTTATGAAAAATGACAAATGGCAAGCACCATCTTAAAAGAGAGATTTCTTCTTCCCTTGCACTAACAGGACATATTGCCTCTTCTGATAAGATGAATGCTATGAAGCTTGTATAAATTGTCTATCAAAAAATTGTTCTTGGTTCAGAAACAGTTTCAGTCATGAAAAAATATTCAAACGGATTAATTTGCAATTGATTGATTTAATATTTAATTAATTGTTTTAATACATTTAGCTAGGTGATAGACCTAATTTTAATCTAATCCATCTGTTAATATGGAAAACTTCTGTATAAGCGTTTTCAGGATCTAGATTCGATTTTCAGGGTCATACCAACTAAGTGTTCAGGTCATTTTAGGGATTATCTTCCTCAACACACTACTTCAGTTGTCTAAAACTGCAATATAGAAAACATTTGGATGCAACTGCTTAACAGATGTGTCAAGTATTCCTGAATGCTTAGAACAGTCATATTTTATTTATTTGAAATTTATTTTATTTTTATTTATTTATTAAAACATTTTTATGCCGCCCCATTTGCCGAAGCCTCGGGGCAGCTTACAACAATAAATAAAACCACATAAATTAAAATATACATATTAGAATAGTAATAATAATTTAAAATACAATATACACACAATATAAAATAAGCCGCCCTGGCCAGATAAAATTCAGTAGTATTAACATTTAAAATGTTGCTTAAATAAAAAGGTCTTCGCCTGGAGCCGAAAAACAAATAACGACGGCGCCAGGCGGACCTCTCTGGGGAGCGCATTCCATAACTTAGGTGCCACCGCTGAGAAAGCCCTCCTCCGAGTAGCCACCCTCCTAATTTCTCTCATGGAGGGCTCCCGGAGAAGGGCCTCTCCCGCCGATCTCAGGGGGCGACTGGGCATATATGGATGTAAGTGCTCCTTCAGGTAACCAGGACCCAAGCCGTTTAGGGCTTTATAGGTCATCACCAACACCTTGAATTGGGCCCGGACTTCAATGGGGACTTCAAATTAGATAATATGTGTAAATAGCTTCAAAAGTACAGTGTAAAAGAGCATTTATTTTCTCTCTCTCATACACAAGCTTGTTGTCCTAAAAATTAATGAAGTCCAGTATTTAATATTCCTAAGGGTGCAATCCTAAGGCCCCTAAACAGCACCTGAAAAGCCATAAGAGATTCCAGATTTCCAGATCTAAGGTCAGAGTCAACAATTTAGGAGCAGGGAACTGGCACTCAGTCCACTTGCAGCCAGCATGGGCGGGGCAGGGGGGCCATGCTGCCCTCTGAGGCTCAGAGAGCAAACTTGAAGAAGGGGAACAGGAGCCTACTCTTCCAAAATGCTTCAGCTTAGATGGTCTCTCTAGCAAAAATTCAATGCAGCAAGACAGGGAGGCAGGGAGTGCCTCTACTGCCTGATGCACTAATGACTGTCTGAATTCAGGGCTTACACCATTTCCCTAGGATCGCACACTAACACTATGATAATTTTTCCAATTTTCTTATGGCAGCTTGTGCTGAGATTGATCATTTCTGAGCCCCACTGATTTCAGTGGGAAAATGTTAGTAGAAAGTTTACCTCTGCCATTAAAATCAGTAGTATTAAGAAGAGCTTAACTTGGAGTGAATTGTGCCCTTTTTCTCTGTCACACTATTTCAAACTAACTGAGCTGGACTTTATTATCACACTATTTGCCATGTGAAGATGATAGAGAATCTCAATTCAGTGAGCATTTACGTATAATTTTGAACTTTTTCTCTTACAACTGTTGCTTCATTTTATGTGTTAATTTTATTTTCTTCTATATTTTGATATGTTTTCACATACTGATAAATAACAAGTTCTGTGACTCTGAAGGCAACAGGAGAAAATCATCCTGGAAGGGGTTATATTACACTGGAGTTAGGAGAAAAGGAACTAGAAAATATAGCATTGGCTCAAGGTACACATTCTAATTCTATATGCAACAAAGCTACAACCTGGAGATTAGAGAAGCATCAAGTTGAAAGAGTCACTAGTCGCAGAGAGAAGACATCTTCACAGATCAAAGGTATTTTTCTCATTTTTGAAATGATTAACTAAAGTCTTGTCAGTAATAATGGGCCAGTTTACAGAATGTGGCAGCCCATTGTGACTTAATTTACTTATGAGTAGCTGCAGTACATATTGGTTGCCATTATGACTATGCCAGCCATGTTCAGGGAAGGTTACTTTAACATATTTTGTCATCCAAACCTCGGAGGCAGTGGTTTTTTGATGATTAAACAACATTCATGTAACCGTAAACAGACTATGGGTTATTTGATGGCAGTTTAATCATCAAATAACTTCTGACACTTGGGCTTGGATGATAAAATAAGACACATTAGCCCCTGACCAGGCTTTGCATATTCATAATGGCAGGTGTCATGAGAGTCTTTTTCTGTTTTAATTATTATAATTTCCTATGGTCTTCTCTGCCTATTTCAGCTACCTGTCTTGTTCTTGTGATATCTCAAAGGGCTAGACTATACGGACAGCTTTCTGCTTGAGAACAATCTTTGCTAAATTAAGCTGCCTAAGTATTTCCTAAGTATTTCCTGATCACTGGGCTTTCAAGTAACAGCTTGTTAGATAAATTGACTGAGCTTTGTCAGTGACTGTCTTAGGAAAAGGAACACTGACCTTACTGAAGGTCTCATCTCCTTATTTGAGGGGTAGTATCTTGATAAGATACTCCTTCCATTTGTTCACCAAGCAGGGCTATGCCAGTAATTGGAATGTTTTAACTTGCTGAGGACTCTGGATCTACAATTCCAGTCCAGAGCTGTACTCTTCTAGCTCTTATATCCCTGTCCTTGCTTTCACAACTGATTTTCTGTGCTACTGACCTCTAGACCCCTGTTTGAGTCTTCTATTGTGACTGCATTTATAGTGGACTGCTTACCTTTGCTTTGACCTTGCCTGTGTCTCAATCCCATCTCTTGAAACTCTTTCTTGACTGGTAACAGTGTGCTCTTGGCCCTTGCCTGTTTACTGAATCATGCTTTGAACTTCTTTCTTGGTGGATTCTTGTTTGTGTGGTTGATGATTCTGCCTCTTAATTGACTTATGATAGTACTTGGACTTTTATTTGCCCTAACACCGAGTATGATCCAACCACAGGAGGACAAGTCTTGAGAAGAGACTATCAAGAGGTGATATGATAGCCATCTTCAATTATTATAAAATTTTGTAGATGTATGGATGTTGTTGAGGACAAAAAAGGAGTACCTCTTTTTAGTTGTATGACTGTGAGAGAGACAGACACCAGCAAGTCATTTTACATTTGGTGCACACTAACAATATAG